CCCCAAAACCCCAAAACCCCAAAACCCCAAAACCCCAAAACCCCAAAACCCCGAGTGAACATTAGCTGGTTGAATCAAAAGGGTCTCTTTGAGAAATTGGGGCCAAAGACTAAAGCAAAGTCAGGTATTCTTCAAAACATCTCTCGAGAGACTTCCCGGGGAAATTCTCTAAGATCTCTTGGGTGCCCTGAATTTCTGATAATATCTGATTATTACACCCTCCAGCTATAAGGAGGTGAAGTTTAGAGTTCTTGCTGATAATCTTCTTCAATAACTTCTTCTCTCTGACAGAGAAAGTCTTCTTTGTAGCGATCCTGCGGATTCTTTTGAGAAGATCAAGCTTTCTGTTCCTTTTCCAGCAGATCTTATCTGCGAGAGCGATCAGGATACTTTTCTCCCTCCTCGGAAGAGGTGCTGAGTCTTTCCAAAAGTTTGTGACTGAGACTCCATGCTCCTTACATATAGCATTGAGAATCTTGAATAGCTCTATAGATTCAGGTGAGATTTGCCAAAAATTGGAAACTGGAAAGTTTAGTATTATGAACACTAGAGGCCCAAAAAGTGGAGGATTTATCAACTAAAGTCTTACCTTTATCATTCCGCTTGGAGAACCTCATTCCTTTATCAAATTTAGAAGAGCTTTTATCTTGGTAAGTTATCTCTGTGTTCTCATCGTTCTTTGGCTCCTCGTCGGATCTTAAACTCTGAGACTTAGTAGTAGAAGAATCTTGAATTGATTTCTTCAATGAAATATTGAGTGTTTTAAAAATTATAGGCTGGGTATCGGAATCCCGAGACTCTGAACTATCTGAAGTAATTTTTACAGCATTCCTCTCCATGGTTGGATCAAGATCTCCTTGATTATCCTCTACGAGTCAATTAGAGTGAATAGGATTTCTGTAAAGAAAATGATTCTTGTTTGGCACGAATGCACTCTGGCGTATTGGCAAGGGGTTGAGCCCAAAATTAGAGCTCACAGATCCTTTGTTAACCAAGAATCCTCCATGCTTAAATTCCTGGCCCATGATAAACACTGGGTGTGGTACAAACATTGGGTTCATTGTTGTTTCTCTATAAAAGACATCTTAATAATTTTATGTTATGAATAAGCCATGGTTATTTTCAGAAATTAGATTGTAAACGACCCCAATTCTAAGTAAATAAACCATTAGAGAGCTGGCTAACCTGGTGGAGTGCCCTGGGAGTTCTCCAGTATACTTATCATATCTAACTTGGACCGTAACTTTTGAATCTCCTCATGGACGCTAACTGTAGATATTTAAAAAAAATTAAGTCATAAAAAGTCTTGTGTTTATAATGAACCCGATCGTTTTCATTAGAAAATTAAGACCAGAGAGTGCTCCTCTTGATCACTGAGAGGCACATTTTAGGAATCGACCTAAAATTTGGCCCTTCTGAGATTTGTGCATCTTTTACCCTCTCCAAATCTAGCCTAATCAATATGAAGTATGACTAAGTGAGGCATCCTAGAACATAAATTTATCAAAAATGTTGGTAAAGAACTCAACAAAAATGGTAGTCAAGTGTTTAAAAATTTAATCAGCTCATTCCAAATTTTATGATTTTTACATCAAGATAGTATTACCTAAATGCCTGCACTGAGTAGCATCCTCAGAGGATTTCATAAAGATTGAAAAGACAGAGGAGGCTGAATTTGGTACTAACTACTTCTACCCCACACCTAGTGAAATGCTCTTATTGGTTTGAAATTTCACCTGGATTTGTATCGCTTGGAGAAATATCGAATAGAACATAATGATTAAATTATTGCGAAACCAAGGTCCTTTAAAGTGTCTTATCATCACATTCATTGCTAAAAGGCCATTTACAGGGTTCTCTAGTCGTTTAAGCTCCATATTCCCAAGAAGACCTTATGGGTGATAAATCTTGGGCTAAATTTTAGCTTAGGACATTTTAAGTTCTTCCATGTCACTTACCTGTTAATTATATTATCCATTCAATATTCTGCACAAAGTGAGGGGTTTTGGGGTTTTGGGGTTTTGGGGTTTTGGGGTTTTGGGGTTTTGGGG